GACCTAGGCTGTGCCTGCTCACCACTTCTCACCACCACCTCATCCTGTGTTTTCTTCCCATCTCTTTCCGCAGGCTCCCTCTGCTGTGCTCTACGGTTATTAGGGACTGCGCGGAGCGAGAAGTAAATCCGGGAGGGATGGACTAAGTGGATAAAATTGATGAATGAGTAAAATGAATGAATTAATATGTAAATAAAAGGAGAGGCAGGGTGAGTCAGGTGGTCCAGCTAGTGAAGGCACTTGCCACCAAGTGTGACAACCTGCGTTCAGTCCGAAGGACCCACATGGCAGAGGGAGGGAACTAATTTCCACAAATTGTCCTCAGACCTGCATCCATGTGTGGACTGTGGTGCACACACACACACACACACACACACACACACACACACACTAGATAGAAGGTTAAGGCACTGAAATGCTAAAAAAGAAAAGTCGGCTTCTGTTAACAGGCCTGATTCGGGTATCAGACTTGTACATTTAGCTTTTCTGGTCCTCAGTGTGCACACATCCTTCAGTTCGTGTGTTCTCAGCTTCCATTTCTTAGGAATTTCCCAGTGTTTACAGTTAGGTTTGTACTCCTGAGGACACTTTCACAGGTTGCTTTTATCAAGTACCACAATTGCTTATCTGTTACTAGTGGTTTCTAAAATAATCCTTGTTGCGAACCAAATAAGTCTGTGTGGATCCATTTACCACTGATAGCCAGGGCAGTCACAGATTAGGTCTGGTTCCGGGAACTTCCTGTGGCCTTCAGGTCTACCCAGCAGGAGCTCTGTGTAAGAACTTACTTACCACCCTCAACCTCAAGGAGGGGTCAGACAGTCCTGTGAACTAAACATGTCTTCTCTTCCATTCCAAAGTTATCTTTACCAACATCTGTTCAAACTGGCTGTACATTTTTTGCTACCAACAAATACCAACTGATAATTTATGGATCATTTAGCATGTGTCTCTAACTCTTCAGACAGGCTGTAAGTTAAGTTCTGCCTGGTGAGACAGAGACCATGAAGTCTTAAGGCTAGAGGGATGCAAAGTATCGAATTCTGAGTGCCTTGGGGGAAAGTTGGTCTCGGGTGCAGTCTCCCTAACCTCAGGACCAAGCACCCCACTGGAGGTGGTGATAGGAATGAAGACTATCCACATATGCCCGGTCTCTGTCTGGCTACTTGATGACGGTCAGGGACTATCGCTGATAGAAGCCAGGGAGGGACACAGGAAGTGAAAGAGGAGCTGCCAGCGTGTTCAGAGCCCTTGCACGCCGATCATTTAATCTCATCTTCCCACTCCTATAGTGTTGGAACGATTGTCTTTATCGCAAAGTAAGAGAACTGGCAGCCAAAGACCATGTCATATGTCACCCAACTAGAGGAAGGCAGACCGGGCTTGAGCCTTGAAGTCTTTCTTCCATCACACCAGAATTAGATCTCTGAGATTCTTTCCAGTTCAAAACGTTCTGAGCCTCATGTCCTGTGCAGCTTCATTTGCTTGATAGGGGCAGACATCACTTCTTGGCTTGCCATGTCTTAGGAGGCATGGCTTGAGATTCTTGAGATGAAAACGTGAGCCTGGACTTGGGTTCACTGCCTACTCTGATATGTGTATGTCCTGTCACCTTGAATGAGACGGACATATAGCCTCTCCCCACCCCATTTTCCCCATCAGTAAAAGGGAACTCATAGTGGCGCTTACATTGTGTCCCGTATAATAGAACAATGGTGCATTTCACACCCTACATGATATGGCCCCAAATCACACCTTATCCTCATCTCCCCCATCTCCACTCCTTCCTGGCCTCACTAACCCCTGTCCTTTCCCTAAGCACCCCAGGAAGCATTCTCACCCTTAGCATTTTGCCTAGAATGTTCCCTAGATATGCATATGTGGATACTGTCTTAGTTAGGGTTCCTGTTGGTGTGATGAAACACTGTGACTGAAAGGTGACTTGGGGAGGAAAGCATTTACTTTGCTTACACTTCCAAGTCATAGTCTATCAGTGAAGGAAGTTAGGGCAGGAACCTGGAGGCAGGAGCTGATGTGGAGTCCATGGAGGAAGAACGCCGAGGCAGATTATTAGAATGAGTCTCCATGGCAACTAGAGAAACTAAGTTAGCATTAGAAACTTATTGTCACAACACAGCCTGGCTGCTGACCTGCTGACCTGCTGACCAACAAGTCTGGCAACTGAAGGAAACGTGAAACGCAGTCAAGGAAAGCCAGGGCCCTGGTGAACAGCACCCCAGCAGGTGCACACAGAAGCTGCAGTGGTGACAGCTCCCTGAAGAAACTTTGTTTTCATGCCGCCACTGGAGGCGCCGTCCCTGCTGCTTTAAGGATCTGAATGGAAGTTGGAACGGGGATAGGGGGGTGGGGGAGAAGGGGAAGAGGAGTGGCTGTGTTAGAAAGGGACATTTCACAGAGGTGGCCTTGAAGGGTGTAGGGCTCTGGGTGGCTTATTTGGTGTCCTACGACCCTGCTTATACCAAGTTTGCTAGGACAGCCAGTTTGGGGCTAGACTTCTCTGACCTATTCCTCCAAGAGCCCCTAAAAATCTCATTCCCATGGGCCCAACTGGCCTCTCCTTCCTCCTTCCTCCTCCTGCTGCCCAGTGAAGATTCCATTTCATCCTGTCAGTGTTGTGGGAGTGCCTCAGTTAGCACCAGGAAGTATGAGGCTGGCTGTCATAGGCCAAATGGGCAGACTGGGGCCTGCTGAGTTAGTTCTAGAGCACAGACTCAGAGCCACTGCGGTTCTACTGTTGGCTTTGTGGTCTCAGAAAACTATGTGGGCCACATGACATCAGTTTACTACCTCCAGAAAGTGGGACTGAAAGAGCGCATACTTCAGCTAAATTTCAATTAAAGTGTATCCAGTGCCCAGAGGGTGGCTTGGCCTATAGTGAGTGTGCCTTGTGTTTGCTTTTACTACCATTCTCCTCCCATTGTTCCTTGCTATCCTGTAGCAACTACAATAAAGGCACACGGGTGTACTGGGAAGCTCCCCCAGAAGATACCTGATCTAGTCTCAGAGCCTAGGGACGGCTCTTAGAAGATGGCCATATACTGAATCTCTAAGGATGACGTGTGTGTGTGTGTATCCAAGTCTATCCAAGCAAAGAAACCATACTAGGCAGAAGGAGGTGAGTCACCAGGCAGGCCCTGGCACCACTGTGCTGTCACCTTCAGGGCAGAGAGCAGGGAGTGGGGGGCAAAGATGTCTCAAGGTCAGACCGTGGCAAGCTTGGTCTTTATTGTCTCAGCACCTCTTGACCTGCTTAGCCCTGATCCCACTCCCCTCCCCGACTCTGGACAAGGCCCAGCCTTGGAACCCAGGTACCAGTCCATGGCATTCTTTCACTGTGTTGTCCTCAATGTGGAAAGGAAACACAGCTTGGGCTGGCCAGTCGTGTTCGCTGGGGTTTCTGCCAGAGCGGCAGCAGCATGCAGCTCGACCCTTATGGCGGGTTATTGGGAAGAGTGGTTTGGGGCCATGGGAGGCCTTTGCCCTTATCCTAGGCCTGGCCCGTGAGCTCCCAAGAGCCCTGTGATTGTCCCTTCCAGGAAAGTCCCTGTGTATCTTCCTTCTGTGCTGTGAAAGTTCCCAGTGTCCTGCCGACAAAGCTTTTTTTCAGCAAAGTTGCTTCAATCTGATTTCTTATATCTCTGCATGAAAAAGACATAACTAGTAGACTGAGGAGTGTGGATCTCGTCCAAGGAGCTATGGAAGGGGCTTTAATTGGGGTCAGCTGAACGTTTTGAAGCTGTCACTCTGACAGCAGTGTGAAGCAAGACTAAGAGAAAGAGAGGCTGAAGGTGGGGACCCTGGGTAGGAGCCATTGTCCATTGTCCAGGAGAGAAAAACGGATAAAAACAAACAGAGAGGGGATGCTCTGGGAAATGTCAAGGAGGTGCTAAGATGTAGTAAGGCAACCAAGCCAGGATTCCTTGACAGCTGTGTTTACATCTGTGAAGCTGAGGGCCCTCTGAGGTGGCCTGGGCATGGAAGAGGTCAGGTCCCGGAAGCAGGGAGTCCACAGAGGCAGTCAAGTCCTGCTCTCTCCTTGTAGTCTGTCCACGCCTGCCTGCCACACCTCAGTGTCACCTTGTGGGTCAGAGACCAGCCCTTATTGCTTTGATATCTCCTCCACTGAAAGATTTCTCTTAGATTTATTTGTCTGGTTCTGCCTTCCTGAGAGCATTCCGTGCCCAGAATAGGCCCTCCCCCTGTGGTTTTTATGCCTGCCTTCTGTAGCCTGGCCATGCTTGCCTCAGAGAAAACAGGATCGCTGTCAGCTGTAAACAACCCTCTCCACAGATTCTTGAAGATAACCCCTGGCAGAGCCTCAAGGAGGGGAATGCAGAAGCTAGAAATGGCCTACGAGGGAGAACGTGACATTTTAAATGCATCTTTTATACCCCAGAGATGTCTTTCTTTCCATTCTTGCAGTAATCCTGTAAGACGTTTCCGTGTAAGGAAGCCAGGGTTCAGGGGGAGCCCATATTGTAGATAATACCACACACCTGCTAAGGGAGTGGATGAGGATTTGAATCCAAACCTAGAACTCACAGCACACACCCTCTTCCTCTTTGTTGTTGTTGTTGTTGTTTGGAGTGAATAGGTTGCAGCCAGTCTCCATTCTGAAGTCTGCTAATATCTAAGCTGTGAATTGGCTTGTTTGTTATTGGATGATGAGCCTTACAAAATGTGCATAAAAATTAGGTGGGTGGCATTTTCCTTGGCATCCACTCTGGTTTGGGGTGAGTTAGGCGCCCAGAAGGACCTACCTCAGGTGCAACAGCACTTTGTCTTTGACTCATACTTCTCTCCAGGACAAGGGCGGCTTCCATCGCTCAGTGCCGGAAGCCCTGCTCATCCGAGGTTTGTCTCTTGCTTCAGACTCTCCAGTGCCCTGCGCTGAGCAATCGTCTGGTTAGCAGCTATGGTGTCCAGCCACGAGTGTCCTCCCATGGGAATCCCACGCTTTGCCCCGGCTGAGCACTTACCTCCAGTTTCCCAAAGTGGCGTGTCAGCAAATCCATGCTTAGAGCCAGGAAACTCACTCATGAGTCAGCGAAGTAGTCAGAGTGGGACTCTGGCAAAGAGAGGTTCTGGACAGCCACACGGGTAGGCCACAACTGTACAGCAGGCAGTCCAGCAGGGAGTTGTCTTCAGGCCTGAGCGCTGAGAAGCTGCAATAGAAACTGTGTCCTAAAGATGAGTTGAACCCCATGTAGAGGGAGTATAGTGTGTGAATAGGAGGAAGGACCTAGCTCCATCACTGAAGAATTCTGTGTAGTTGCTCACCCACTGAGCCGTAAGCTCCTCCTCTGGAAAACATGAGCAGTAATATTTTACAAAGTCCTATGAACTTAACACGTGTGTAAGTATCAGGTGGGTGGCATTCTCCTTGACACCCACTCCGGTTTGGGTAACTTAACACATCTAACTAGCTTAGGGCAGCTGTCAGTGATAAGCATCTTTAATGCACAATGTATGGTGAGTATTAGCAAAGCTTAGAGCCCATCTTATGCTTGTCCTGGTCCCATGCTTCAGAGAGCTCCACTGTAGCCCTCTTCTATGACTGTTTTCATGGGGTTTGAAGTTCTGAAGGCCCCCAAACCATTCTTCTAGACCATTCCTCAGTGGCAGCTAGGATCCTGGAATCTGCCATGTAAACAGATTAGAGTTCCAGAACCGATATGGATATTTTTCCGGGTGGTTGTTAAAGTGGACCCTACTGCCTTGTGAGCTCTCAACGGCCTAGAATATGTCAGGAGGCCGGAGGCGAGTACGTGGCTCCTTGAGGATGGAGGTGTCAGGAGGTCAGAGTGTGGCGCTGTCTGATCCTGTAGACGTCTATGTCCCACGGCGAGTACGTGGCTCCTAGAGGATGGAGGTGTCAGGAGGTCAGAGTGTGGCACTGTCTGACCCTGTAGACGTCTGTGTCCCATGGCGAGTTCGTGGCTTCTTGAGGATGGAGGTGTCCACGTGTTCATTTCTGTGTAGCTCCTCATAAACTCAGGATGCTATATTCCAGTGCTGGTCAGAAACAAAGATAGTTGTTGAGGTAGGGGACTATCACAAATTTAGCAACTGTTAGGCTAAATTGATAGCCTTTAAATATAAAGGCATATGATAGGTGGGGTTGTTTTATTCTTGGCCAAGACCATCTAAGCTGATCCTGATGCTCGTGAAAAAATGAGACAGGAAAGCCTCCCACCTGGAAGTGACCCTATTCCTGCACCGAAGTGTGCGCTCGCTTCCTCCTCCTGCTCACTTTGCTCAGGTAGACAGGGCAGGAAGGGTTGGAAACAGTGTTTGCAGACAGGACCAATCTCCTTGGTTCATGGAGTCTGAGTTAAAGATCAGATGGCACCAACCCACTCCTGCTCACAGAAACAGCTCTTAGCCCCTCCCACTCCCGCCCCCAGTCCTGGTCAGGCAAGGACTTTGTTGGCTTGCTCTCTTAAACTTCCTTTGCAAAGTCTCTCAGGGACACCTCTTCATGTCCCAAATGAACGCGGTTTTCTCTACAGCTGGCAGCATCCCCGCCATGCTCAGTTCTCACCGACATAAACAAGAGTAGCTCCAGGAAAATCAGTTGTGCTTTCGTGGTCCACTCCTCTGCCTTGACTCTACAAATGTTCTTGAGTCTCTGCGTGTTCTGTTTCAGTGTGCTGTACATGCACTGAATGCATCTGTGGCTCAGTGTCCGTTCCTGGAGCTGCTGGACACCCTGCTGATTGGGCGAGAGACACGGTCATTCCGCAACCCCAGAGAAAGAACATCTCTAGGATGGGAGGTGATGCCGTGGGACTGGACGCCCCATTCCACCACTGGCTCCTTCCATGTCTCCGCAGCGCTTAGCTGACTTTGATGGGTGGGCACTGTATATGTAAGATGAGAACAGTGCTGCTGACCTCGTGGCTGTGTGAGGATGTAAAGAAACAGCTTATACAAAGCTCTAGTCCCAGCACCGGGCACAGACTTCCAGCAAATGTAAACATAAGGACGCTGTTTGTCTTCCATCCTCAATGCCACGCCCAGTGCATCTTTCTGCGGAGAGGAGCTGATCTGTGGGAGGGGAAGGCAGAGCGCTGAGGGACAGGTGACAGGGGAGTCAGTAGCTGAGCCCCTAGCAGGGCTACTCATCTTCTCTGTCAGCCTCAACTTTCCTCCCTCCGTGGCTGCAAAATGTCGCCCTTGAAATGAAAGCTTATGTCTGAGCTGGGCAAGAGTTCTTTGACCCAGGATAGCACAGGCATGTTCAATGAAGTGTATTGCTTTGTTGAGGCTTAGGGGGTGTGCGGGGCGGGGTCTCGTGTGAGCACTTCTGACTTGCCTTTTTCTCTCAGCCACATATGTTCAGACTGTTAATGCACTTTAATCACGTCTGTGAATATTCATTCCTGTCTGTCTAAGAAAGATGCTCGGTAACCTAAGGAGGCTGACAATGAGAAGGTGTCTGACTATGCAGGAGGATGCAGAAGCCTCCTGGGGGCAGCTGGGAGGACGGTGTACCGTCCTGAACAGTTGGAGATTATTCTGGAGGTCTGATTGATTCTCATCACTCTGGGAAATCTCATGCTCTGAAGACAGAAGCCCGACGTGGGCCTCAGGTTGGCCATTTGTTCTTTTAGATGTGATTGTGGACAGTGAGGGCTCGTTGTCCCCCTTCATGCCGTTCCCTTTGGAGTCTCTTGTTTCAGAGAAAGGTAAAAATCAGGCTCTTGGATGTTTCTGTCTGTAGCAGATGCTGCCGGAGAAGCTGAAGAAAGTAGGTGTGTTAAAAATCGTCTTAACCCATTAGGACTGCTTGGAGTAATTTCCCTGGAAACCTGTGGAGAATATTCTCCAGTGGAGCTTCAGACAGTTGTAAATGTGTCCTTTTGTTGGCTAGCAGAGGTGAATGCTAATGCTGGGAGGGGCTCAGGGAGCCAAGGAGTTCTTGTCTGCAGAGCTCTCAGAAGCGCTTGCTCCCTGCCTTCCTCACCTGAGTTCCTTTGCCCATACATCGTGGTTCCTTCTTAAGGTCAGGGCCTGTCCTGTGCCGAGTGGACAAGTGTGGTGGTGACCCCGGCCCTGTCAGTTCACCCCTGCCTCTCAGCCTCCCTGTCTGTAAAAAGTCACAGTGCGCATGATCTGGGGAGATGCCCATGCTCAAAGCATCCGGGAATGGGACATGGGGAGCCAATGTGGAGTCACACACACACACACACCCCAAGCGACAATGCCCTGCTTCTCATCCTGACTCAGTCACCAACCAGCTCACCTAAACTAATTTGTTTTACTTGGTCAGTGATAGTTTCCTTGCCTGCAAAATCAGGGATTAGATGAAACCAAAGCAGGAGAGCCAGATAATACCATGTCTTAGGCTCCAGGACCCGTCTGCTTTCTGTCGAAACTGCCCAGCTCTGTCCCTGTGACATAAAAGCAGTCCAAGGTAGCCAAGTGGCTGGCCATGGCTGTGCATGAATGGAACTTAATTCATAAAAGCTGACCGCAGGCCATACTCTGCCAACCCCTGGATTGCATAACTGTAAGATTCTTTCTTAAAGTTAAGGAATTTTATCTTATGAAGCCTTTTAAAAAAATTATTTAGGTGTAAAATTATCAATTCTTTTATTTACCGTGTGACCCACTACTTTCTTGGTGTTGAACTTTCTAAAATGTTAGAGCGCTGATGCTCTTAGAGGTCATGAAGTCCCAGGCATTTTCCCTGCTAGAAATTCCTCAACAACTCTCTGGCTATGAGTATTTATCACAGCGAGTGTCTCATCTTGAGACACAGACACTCCATCCACCCCCACCCCACCTGTCCAAGGATTTAATGAAGGCAGAACCAGCTTCTTGATGACCTTTCTTCACGTCTTAGCTGCGCCACCTCCTTTGTTCTGCCTACGCCTCCTACCATGGACAGGGCTGCTGTCTTCCTGCTGAGCCCCTGAAGCCTCAGCTCTAACTCCTTCACACTAACCACCCCACCAATTGCCTTGTGCTAGGCTTACTCTTCTCTGCTGAGTCTTGTAGGGGGGTGACAGTATTATAGTGCTGCCTGCCTGTACTAGCTGCATTCCTGTCTAGCAGACCCCAAAGGGCCTATCTTACGTATTCTTTCCAGACACCCAGAAGCTACTTTGGTGGCCTCAGTTTGCCCAAAGTGCAGGACTGGAATATTTAATACCCCTCAGGTATTTGAAGTCCACTCTTTCCAGGCTGGTCAGAAATCCTGTGCATTCCACTGTATGCCTACAGTTCAGCCATTCCTGCATGAATAAAACAACTAGCTGCCTCCCAACAAAAATCTATGCTAATACAAGAATGCATCCATAGAAAAATAAATACCATTAAGACTGGAATGAAGTGGAGGCCCTTGGAGTAGCGTTTCTCAGATGGGAGTAAATGGATACTTACTGTTATTAGCCTATCAGAGAAACAGCAGCTTGTGCTGATGAGGGAATGTGATACGGGGATGCCGGGTCTGTAATGGCTGCTCCTCTAAACGAAGGGAGGAAAATGTGCTATCTGGAAGCCTATTAATCTGTTGTCGTATTTACTGAGCACCAACGGCAAACGACATGCTCCCCACGATGCAAAATGCAAAGTGAGACACAAGTCTTACCCAGGGAGTTACCAGCTTCCCAAAACAGACAGGAAAAAAGAAAGAGCATACAAAAGCAAAAGCCAAGGTCAAAGACGAAGGGCATGGTCAAGAGACATGGTTGAGGGTAGGTGGCAAGGCCCTGCCATCAGTGACAAAGGGCTGTGAAGTCCAGAAGGCTCAAGATCGGAGAGGTCTCGGACTCTTCCATTTCAGCGTTCCTCTTTACAGATTGTCATTGGAACCTGAAGAGAGTCCTCAAGTTCTCCAGCCCAGCCGCTGTTTTCCTATAAGCTAAGAGTAGGCATCTCCGCCAAGGAAGTAGACTTACTATGGGACAGCTTTGGCAGAGTGAGAGAAAGTGCAGTGCAAGGTGGGATGGATAAGTCTTGGGTTGAGGAAGGAGACTCTTACCTGAAGGGACTCCAGAAGAGAGAG